GTACCCACAGTACATGATGCCGAGGGATTTGCGTAAATCCACTTTCAGTCGACTGGACACGAAGCTTGCACGAAGCTGAGACCATGATCAGGCTTATCAGTGGGGGGCGGTGGCAGCAGCAGCTGCCCTGGGAGGCCATTCACAGCTATGGGCCATCGGCGTCTGGTAGACTTGAAGCGCTCCGTGCTGGATGAAACGGGGTAGTTGTTCGGCAGGCTTGCAAAGTGCTGGTTGGCGAGTCCCAGGATGTGTGACTCCCGGTGTGTGGTGCAACGGAAACTGCTCGGCAAATTGGCCGTGGTGAACTTCTCCACTGTGTTTTTCGCCCAGGTCCGGGTGGCTGTATGGACCGCTCCTTTGCTCTCAGAGTATGAGACGAGACATGCATGAGAAGCTTTGCGAAGCAGTCTTCATCGTTCTTGAAGTCGCTTAGTCCAGGACTTGACCAGTCGAAGAGAGCAAGGTCTTTCATTTTAGAACCAGACCCGTCTTTGGCTCGGCGCCAAAGATCTGCGATGCTGCAGGACATTCAGGCGCACTTGCACCAGAGTGCCCAGGCCAAGGCGCGCTCGCAGGAGAGCCCCCTCTGCCAGTAAGTCCAAAGGAGTTTGGGTTTGGGCCTTCAGAGATCCTTGGCCCTCTGAGGTCATTCCCTTCCTTCCACTGTATTTCCTCGTCTGCGGGAGGTCGGTGTGCCACCGGTGTTCACCAAGGATGGCGGAGGCGATGCGTCAACGACAAGTGTTCTTTTGAGGGGTGGTGAGGGTAACCCAAATACACAGGAGCAGCACTGGCTCCGGGGCAGGGAAGCTCAGTCCAGAGGGTTGCAAATCGAAATCCAGGATGTCATGCAAATGTTCATGACAGAGAAGTGCAAGTCAGCAGAGATATGGTACTGACCAGAGAGTGTCGAGCCAGGATTGAAGCCAGAGTGGCCGTGCCATGGGCACTTTTCTTTTGTCCGCATGGCAGGTCCCGGTTTTCGATTCTTCTGGACCGCAGCTAAGGCCGGTTTATCCCTCTGGTCCTTCGGTTCAAAGGACGGGATGTGAAGTGCCAGTCTCATCCGAAGCTGCAAAGGTTCGCTGTTCTTCAGATGCGTCTGCCTGAGTCTGTGAGAGGAGCCCTGTGACCAACGACAAGCTGCCGGAGGATTCAACCTGCCGCACCGGTTTGCTGTGCCACTCGTCCAGCCACGCTTCTCCCACTTGGGTATGCACCGTTCAGCTGCCAGGAGCATGCTCCAGCAACAGCAGAACCCCACAAAGGCCGAGGGCGGGGTGAGGCCGGACTACCGGAGACGGTTACGCACAAAGCGGTAGTGTGTGGGAATATGTTTGTCGCGGTCTTTTGTGCAAGTTCTTGGACTTCTTAAACTGAGCGAAAACTTGCTGGCTGGATCTGCCTTGCAACATGAACTGGTGCAGGGCATAGCATGCAGTAGGCAGGAGAGGGTGCATGCCAATTGCTGTACCCTATCGATATGAGCATGCTGCAGGGGATGCTGGTTCAGCATGACAGGTGTTGTCTTTGTGAGCATTGCTGATGCAAGGTTGATGCCGCCCCTGCGAATGGCAAGGTGCTGCGAGATGTCCCACTGGTTTCTCGTTAGAACATATTTTAACATAAGAAGCCTCATGAGGCTTGAAGTTGACAGCCGCACATCCTCACACATCCTGTTCCAGGGCGGCAAAGGCCGCGGTCCAAACGGGGCTGCACGTGGCAGGCATGCTCGGCATGTCGGGTCGAGGAGCACCATGCTACTGGTACCATGTTCAGCATGATCATGGTTGTCACGACTGATTGAACACGGCAGTCGTAGCACACATTGTTTGATGTTTGCCAGTCGCAATAGGGCAAAGCCTGAAGAAACACGTCCATGAGGTTTGAAGAAAAGTCAAGCAGCGTTCTGGACATTGCCAGATTCGATGCAGCAGCACTTCCTGCCGAAGCGGCAGAATTGCTGGGGCAGGTGCACTAAGGGTGCGGCGTCAGCATATTTTCAGAGTTCGGAGATGCACGAAAGCAAGCACACAGGTCGGTCAGCTTTCGCGAAGTCAAGCAGGGAGCTGGAGGCTCAGCTTCGCGGCAAATGGCCCCCACTTTCTGACCATGTTGTTCACGGCCAAACTGTGCACCGCATGCTGTCCGCGATTTGACACTGTCTTGCTAAGGCAAGTACCTGCAGCGGCAGCTACAGAAGGGACCAGGCTTCATTGGATCCGGGGTGATCTCAGATTTAAGTCTTGGTGATGCCTGGGATGTTTCAGGCTTCTTACATGAGCGTCTGAAGTATCCTTCCTGATCACCCTGATGCACCCTACAGCGCGAGTCGCAGCCAGCTTCCCGAGCTTAGTCCAGCTCAGTATCATTCGATATCTGACCCAAGTCAACTCGCACTAACCACGCTCGGTAAGCTGCTGGAATTCAGCCTTTGCCGAGCTACTCGCTCTCGAGAGGCCAGGACGAACCCTGTTGTTGAGATGTAATTCACAAGAACTGAACTTGCACCTCTTTTAGCTCGTGGAGACAAGCCACCACGAGCAGTCACGTCGATATCTAACATCTTCAAGCATTGGTGCAAGTGACCATGCTGGGCCGTACTCGGGAACCCGACGACGGTTGATCAGAGACTACAAATGACAGGGGCGATCATGGATGTGATCCTTGCAGAAGCTTGAGCCTCGGATATCAGGTTAAGAAAACAAACGCTTGCACCCAGGATGAGCTTCTGTGTTGCTTCTATCCGGTACTTGCAGCAGCTTCCTGCACGACCTGTGTTCCTGCAAGCGAAAGGTCGAGGATGAGATTGCGGGAATGATGTGCGACTCCTACGGCAACTACCTCTGTAGCCTCGACCTCAAAAGCGCTGTGCCGGGTTCCTGATTCGCATGCCGGAAGTGTGTGCAGAGCTTTACCCAGTAACACCCATCAGGGAGTTTCATGTGAAATCGAGCAAAATGATTACTCAGCGTAATCTCAAGTGTCCAGCTGCAACAAAAGTTTGCCACCGAGGTGCAGCATTTCAGGCATGCTCTCCCAGGCGCGGGCAGCACTTGCCACGAACAATGTATGCCATGGTGCCAGCATGTCGCGTGCGCACATCAGCTAGATTTGCAGTTGGTACTAGATCGCTTGGCTGCCTACTTGTCAGACTCAGTTTTTTGCTCGGTCTCAGCGGCATCAGCAGCATGGAATGATCGAACTGCCCACCTCTGAGGCAGAGAAAGCGGATCCTTGAGAAGCTCTCACCACAAGTTGGCGCCATCGCGTGCGACAAGCGTGGGACACATGCTCTGCAGGCGAGCCCAAAGTGTTTTCGTCAAATCATTTCGACTTTGTTTGCCAGGAAAGCAAGGTGAATTGCACTTGCCTTTGAAAGCTTTCTGATTGTTGGCTTGCAGAGTTGATTTACTGTTCAGTTGGTGCGGTACAGGTGGCAAGGGCTTTCTATTCTGCGGCCTCATATGGCATTTTGGATCCTCTTAGGTCGTAGAAGATTGCAAAAAACTACTAAGTCTTCCACGAAGATGGGAAAGAAGCGAAGGACAGAAGCCAGGAAGGAGTGGCATGTAGACAATCTATGTCGCATGATTGAAAAACGCGCCGCTTGGACGATCCTGACGGCAGGGGGAAAAGAGCCTCGTGGTTTATGGTTCGGGGTTTTGGGGCTTCAGTGTTTCAGGATCTCGTGGCTTTCTGCATTGCTCTAGGGGTTTAGGGTTAAACTTCACAATGCTTTGTAGAAGGGTCAGCCCAAAGGGCCCTGCATGGGCCTGTGGTCCCCAGGTTTGTCCCGTTTCCACGAGCCTGCTTGCAGCCCTTTCGCAACCACAGTCATCGTCTTACGTTCACAATCATGTACCACAACAGACATCACAACCATCTCGAAGGGCAGGTGCTAGCAGACTTACCTGGATCCAATTGAACCAGATCCAATCTACTGGACTGCAATCCTGCAATTTGTTGGCAACGTTGTGGCTGGTTTTCTTGCGAAAGTACTAGCACACATGTGTCTCACATGTCTCACATAGTTTGTGAACCTCTTACGAAAATGAATGAGCACAATTGCAATTTTGGAAGCCGGGATGCCTCTTGAGATGTTAGCGGCGTGCGAATGCCATTCGGTGCAGTGAGATGGCGATTGCAGCGCACCATTCAAGCCCGCAAAACAACCAAATGGAGAAACACAAGCACCTCCCACTCACACAACACAGCTCAACCCCGGTACATGACGTTATGCTTTCTGTGAAAGGCTCTCATTGGCTTGCTGCAGCTCGAAGAGGAACAGCAGCTGCTGATGTCCGTGGCTCAGTTGTGCTATTGTCTCCTCTGTTTAGGAACATCGGAAGAGAGCTTCTCGTGACTTCGCCAGAAGCAACAGTTAGGAAATTTCCGGTCCTGTTACGCATGTTGTCATCTCTAATTGACTCTACCTGTGCCACGATGTCTCGTAAGTATAGTGCACACGCATCAAAATCGTTTCGCTCGCTGGCAGCAATGGCAGCAATGTCAAATTAAAGCCTCCTGCACAAGCATCAGAAAGTTGCCGGCGCCCACAACACAATCGGAAAGCAGCTTCTGGACATGTTCGAGAGTTCGTTCTGAAGCGTTTATGGTTTTTGAGGTGTGTATGTTAAGCAGCCAGCTTAGTCAGCAGTTGTGTCAAGTGCGAAGAATCCAATCCACGGATGGAATCACAAGGGCCCCCTCATTTCCGCTTCGAGGGCAGTGCGGCTCATGTACCCTTTTGTGTTGCCACCGTCTTTCTTAGGTTTCGTGTATGCGGTGAACTCACCTGCCCTGATCACATGCTGAACATGGCAAGGGATGTATGGGACACTCAACAGCAGGAACGCTATCAAGAGTCGCGTCATCGAACTGAGCCCGGAGCTTAGAAGTATGCAGTCTTGAGCGGCTTGAGCGCCCTCGTGTCCAAGCGGTCCAAGCCTGCTGGAGGAATGGAGCCTGGGGTAAGCATAGAAGTTGCTGCTTGCAAGTCGAGGTATGGATCCAAACGGCACGCACGTGGTGGGGACCCTGGCCCCATGCCATAGAGCTTTCTTGCAGGATATTCTAGACGGTCTCAGCAGGCATGCTGGAGTTTTGTTGATGCCCGAGTCAGGGGATGGATGCTAAGGTCCAGAGGCTTCTTTGCTGCTTTCTCCCTTCAGTCACAGCCTGGCACCTCAGTCGAGAACTTTCATCTAAACCGAGACAGGGTTGCCAAGCGGCTATGCAAAGACGCAAGTCTCGTCGCTCTCTCGTCTCCGGCTGAATGCCGTTCTGCTTGATGCTCTGTGCTGGCCGGTGCATCTTTGAGGAGTGGATATACATTGCCATCAATGATCGCATGATCGAAGTGGCACATCACCCGTACGGGTCAAGGCCTCGGACATTCCAGCTCCTCCAGCCCAGGAGCGATGTTTCCGGTACTTGTTTGTTTTCATTTTGTATTGTGTGTATGGTGCGAACATACGTCGTGTCGGATGTCAAGCTCCACAAGAGGGGTATGTCCCTGACAACAGATCCTAGGTGGAAGAAGTAATTTCGAAAGCGGCAAACCTTACTGCCCTTGGCTGTTTAGTTTAGGTCGGGATGTATCCCTAGATGAGACACCGGACGAGGTGCCCGATGACCATGTCGTAGATACAGTGTGGTTTAGACGATCGATTGCTACATCAACAATCGACATGCTAAAATCTAGGATGGATGAGCTCTTTGTGCTTAGGCACGGCTGCTTTCACTTTCCTGAGATGCGGTTTGCGTTGAGGTGGTGCATGTCTTGGAGAATGTCCTGAGGTGGTGATTTCTTCGCAGTGACGATTCATATGCCACTTGCTATTTGGTGATTGTCCCAATACAGGCCCCTGCTACGGATGGCAGCCGCGGCAAAATTTTTAGAATGGACTGTTAGGTCAGCTTGCTGCTTTGCTCGTTGTGATTGTTGAGGCTTTGCGTGCTCAAGAAGTGCATATCGCAGGCTCGCCCGTGCAGATGTAATGTTGTGAAAGGCAACCCCCAGGTCTTTTGGTGATTCTGCTGCAGACTTGACTTTGCTTCCATTGCTTCCCGTATCTGTGGCAAAGATGTGTGGAGGCGAAACCAGCCTCAAAGCACCAGGACGCCATGTGGGCATGAGCTTGTGTGTGCAAGAGGGAGTGACGAGAGAATGGGTTCGAGGACATGCTATTAAAGCAGCTTGCCCGGCATGTTCGTGCCTCAGAGCGTATCTTCACTCACTGCTGCAGGTGTGATGATAATCATGTGATGCAGAGCCGTGTCGGATGATGATCAGCTTGGTGCACAGTGCGCTGACAATGACATGCCAAAGCTAAGCAGCTTCTAAGGCAATGGACTTAGTCCAGAGTCCTTACGGTAACTATGCGATCCAGCATGCGCTGGAGGAGACAAGTTCTTGTTTCAGCTGCAAGGGGTTGTTGCACTCGGCCACAGACCACTGGTCGCAGAGCCATTCGGGCAAAGTGCAAATTACATCAGTTGCTGATAAGCCTCAGCTCATTAACAGGAGTGGGGAGGCAACTGCTGCCAGCCGATTCTGCACAAGCTGGAGGCCACGTCAGATCCTGTGACACAGATTATATGCAAGCAATGCTCTCGGACCCTCGTTGCGTGGATGTGAGAAGTCTCTGAGACGTGTCTCCCTTCAGGGCCGGATGATGCAGCTTAGCATCCAGAAGTTCTCCTCCAACGTGGTTGAAAAGCTTTTCTGTTTCGACCTCAGGAACTTCCCAAACGCACGGCCCCAGTGCAGCAATGGCAGGCGCCTCTAGCTGCATCGACTCGGCTGAATTCAGGCTCGGCACCAGCGGACTTCCGCGACCGCTTCATCGCGGAGCTCGTCGAAAGCGAGAAGATGTCAGTTTTGGTCAACAGCGACTCGTCTTCTGCAAGCCCTATTCCTATTCATGATCTGTGTCAAGCATCGCAGTATTTTTGCAAACGTCCGGCAGTACAGTAGCGAGCATGTTGTCGCCTGCACGCTCCACTGCGGCAGACCAATGGGAAATCGGAAGCCGTGTACGTTTCAGAGGACCTTGACAGGACGCTTTCCCGGCGTCCCTGGTGCCACTATGAACACGCGATCCTTGAGCCACTTCCAAGAGTGCCCCTGGCCAGCTAGCACCACAACGTGGGCAAATGATAGATGGGATGCCTGGCCTGGACAACCTTGCTGCGACACACTTGTTGGCGCCGTGTGCGAGGCGGCAGAGAAGAAGATGAAGAATATAAGTATCGTCCACACAGCCTGCTGGTCAGTCCTGGCTGTGATTGAGCGGACTGGCGACTTGTTGGCGACGGGAAGAGGCGTAACCCGAAAACTATGGATGATCTCTGAGCCGCATGGCATTCTGAGCTGAACACGTCCCCATCACCACGTCTGAGGCAACTATGGGCACTATGTTGCCAAGTTACGATCTCAGCTGCTTCTTTGAGAGATTGTGTGACGTTGCATGTTCCGGGCCGGGCATGAAGCTTTTGCAAAGACACCCGTCGGCTTCATGACTCTGGGCATGTCAGGCGAGCTTTGCAAATGGCTACTCCTGAGCAGAGTCGTGCACTCCTTGAGGCCAGGATTTGTAGAAGCTCGAAGAGCTCTTGTTACCAGTGACAGCGTCGTGATTTCCGGCCTCAGGCAATCAAGGCCAACCTGTCGATATTGACGGGATCTTGGCTTCCCTGTCCATATCGTTGCGCCCACTACTTGAGTCGAATAGCGGGCCGAGGCCGAACCGTCGGTTGCGAGTGAAGTGGGAGAAGGTCATGAGCGGCCAAGGCGAGCATATTGATAGCATGTTAGGTTTCGCTTCTGCTGACCCTGCTGCTGAAAGCAGTCGTCTGTGCCATGGTACCATGCGCCTCGAATGGTGAAGCCTCGATCTGTATGTTGCAAGGTGATTTCGATGACGATGTGCCAGATACAGTGTTCTGAACCCAGCTTCTCAAGCAGATGCGGAAGGGCCTGTCATGTGCTGCTGCGTTCAATGCATGCACTTCCTGTCGTGCAGGAAACCTGCCATGCCACAGCCTGAAAAGGCTTCTGCCGTGGGCTAAGATAGTGCTACGTCATGGCATGTCGCTACCATGACCGGAATCGCTTTGAGTGCAGGTCAAGCGCCGCAGTGCGAGGCCTCGGCGCGGGTGCAGGGCTCAGTTTTCTACTTTGGCATGGGGTCGAGGGTTTCCACGTCGCATCGTAGAAAAGGTGCTGTATTTCTCATCCTGGAAAAGCTGGAACTTGCAGGAGAGGAGACGTGGGAGTTGCAGAACAGTAGGCCCGGCAGCTCAGCAAGTTTGCAGAATTGCATGATCTTGTGGCTTCTCCTCCTTGCAAATGGAGGTCATAATGAGAAATTTGTCGACAGGGCGTTTGTGGTGGAGGAATAGAGCAGCTTCAAATCAAGAAGCCTAGAATCGACGACACGAAGGGAACATGGGATTGGTAACCGCTAAAATCAGTTAGCAGGATGAGGCGCAGGAGGAGGGGGTGGACCAAGCCGCTAACCAGTGCGAACCCCCTCTCATTCATGAAAGTGTAGCAATGTAGCACATTTTGATGCTTATGCTCTTCACCGTGCTGGAACATGGTGAAACCCGATGGCGCACTGTCATTCCATCAATGCGACGCATGCTGAAAGTCTGTCCGCTGCCGAGGTTACTACTGAAGGAAAAGTTCGACGTTGTGTATTATAGAGTTGGCTTTCGATGGGTCGTGCGCACTAAACATGGCATAGCAGATTAAGCCTCTGCTTGGACTCGTGAAACTTAGCATCACGATGTCAAGTCTCCATGTGCGAGACCTGCCAAAAGCTGACAGCTCTTGGGTCAACGCCTGGCTCGGGACATTTGCTGCCAGCATTACCATGCATTGATCTCAGCTATTGAGCTGCCTATTTCGCAATAGTACCGAAGGTGACCGTTGCTTCTGAGTTGGCCCTGCAACGGTCTTTTCTAAACGCTTGACTCGCGTTTGCTCCAATATGACACTGCTTCCTGGGATGCTGGCAGACTCCAGGCGCATTTCGAAGGGTCATGGCTGTGGGCCTGAAGCAGAGGAGTGGGAGATCCGAACACAATTGTATGCCGTCGCTTCTACCATTCACTAGAGAAGGCCCTGCTTCAGCCAAACACAGCCTCAGCTCACAGCGAGCTCCGCAACAGCGCAGGGAGACTCTGCACAGCTCTTGTCACTGTTATTAGACAGTACTAGTGGCAGCACTGTCAACCTCGTTTCGTCAATCTACTGACTTCAATTCCATGGCGTCAAGTTTCTGGCAAGCGGTGCTTCACAGAGTTTCTAGGAACAGTTGAACAGAGCTGCGTTGGGCAGGCCTGACTGTGGTCCCAAAACAAATTCAACGACAAGCGTGCCAAAGGGGGAAAGCGACCATTGCAGATGAGCCCCAGGAGAAAGCTTACGAACAGTACATGAAAGCGTCCACAATGCTGCCACACTTTTGGAAAAGACCATCAAGGGCTTCGCAAGTGCAGCTTCACACCAACCTAAGGGTATAAGTGCTCACCCGGCCCGCTGTGTATGCTGCTGGTGCAACAAATGTCGACGAATCTCTCATGAAAGCGATTATCGTCAACTGGAGCGAATCGGCACTGGTCAATGGCACCGCTGACAGTCTTGAGCCCACTGTTTCACCACACGTTTGCAGGACAGGAGTTTCGCAGGGAGGCTCCATACCAGAAATCAACATATACTTTCAGGAAACGGCGGGCTCCTTTTTTATACAGTGTTTGCAAAGGCAAATGCTGTGCACAGTACTGGCTCTAAAGGATCTCGGCGTCCATTTCTTCAGCGAGTTTTCTTGCAGACGGTGATGCTATCTCGTGACCGGAGGCATCCGAACGCCATCCTTCAGTGCCTCGTGCCTTGCAAGGGAGTGCTGTCACGACATGTCGGCGCTACGAGGGGAAGCAAAGCGACCTGGATGAGATATTCGTGTCGTCCACAGTATGCCAGCGAAGCTTCTCTTCAAACGCTGAGCGCGATGTGATTGGCTCCGTTGCAGGAGCATGCTAGGCAGATGATTGAAGATTTTCTGTAAAGGGTGGGGGGCCCGCCATGTTGACACAGAACTCTTGCCACAACCCCTAAGCTGTTCTGCGCGTCTGGTGCTACGACACTTTGCCAACCCCGGAACCCATAACGTAGCCCATCAAACTACTATCACTTGTGATGCTTCAGCGGAACACGAGCACTCCCGTGTTTGTGACGGCAGCAACGCTTCAACATACAGCAGCAAGTATAGGAGATAGGAAAAGGGCTCCCTTCTCTTTGCAGCATCTCGTCATCACTGCCTTGGTAGTATACACATTCAGCATTCATTTGTTGCCGATGTTCCTTCAAAGATGCCTGGAGCTTTCGCTGACTCATCGCTTCAATTGAGCCTGCGGTTGTGCTGCCCATACTTCAATCTGCACTGTAGTATTTGCATCTTTCCGAACTTGACAAGCCAATAGTAGAGCATGAGCTCCTGGCCTTGTGTCCTACCACTAAGCTGCGATGAAGATGTGCAGAAGTTGATGAGGCTTCTCAAGATCCAGGCCCAGTATCATATTGCATGTGTGTGCACGTTTCTCTCGGAGGTGCACGAGACGTAAAAGCGAAGCTTCAAGTCGTGCAATACATAATTTAGCATGGCTTGCAGAACGACACATGGTCTAGTTTGGACATGCTTAGCGTATGCTTTGGCAGGCACTCAGCCTGGTGTGTCGTGCAGCTCCAGTATCACGTATGCCCTGTTGAGCTGCATGTCTCTCAAGGCGGTTTGCCGGCAACGCGCGCGATGGGTTCGTTGGTACTCGTAGGGCGATTCTGTTATCCAACTGTGTCGTGGCTATCTTTTCACTTGAAGGTGTTCGGACTTGATTTGAAGCAACATCAAACGACGCTTGCAGCAATCGGCAAGGCCTTGAGGAATGCAGCAAGCAAGGCATGTAGTAGACTACTTAGCAGCCCTGGGAAGCATGCAGCAAAGGAAGGAGGGGAAACCTGTACGGTTTCCCAAGCAAAGCCGGCTGGCATTGAGATTCCCAGAGCTTTGAACATCCGAGTCCGAAACCTGCCACCGGAGAGCAAGGTCTGGTGTCACCCCTAGATGTTCAGCAGGAAGGTGGCCATGGGTGGCAGAAGTTGGTTTCCGCTATGCTCGAACGGGTGTAATGCTAATGCAAGCAAGCCGTGTGAAAGCATTGCAGAGGAGACGTCACCGGTCACCAGTGCGGATGGTTTGTAATCATCTTTTCTTGTGACGTCTGCAAGCGAAGCTCATGTCTGTCGCAGCTCGAAGTCGTACAGCGGCAGCGTGGCAGCGGCCGTTTGAGCGCTTTGCACACTTGCACTGGTTCAGAAACTGGGGCTGGCCAGCCGGCAAAGGCTGTCCTGAACGGTCGAGGTGCGGGAGAACATTTTACTTGAAGAGTCTTGGCACGCCCCAGTTGTCTTTTGAGTCGAGCCAGCATCTGTGCCAATGGTGCAGAGACCATGTGCTGAAATGCTGGCGGCGTGCAGAGTTAGGTGTGGTCCTGGCCTCAGGCTGTAGCATGCACGGGTTTCAGATGGATGCATGACATGCTCTCTTCGGTTTGATTTCGCCTGGATGTAACAGCGGTCTGGCTGGATAAGTTCGATGAGATACGAGCACTTCCACTAGTTGGAATGTACGAAGTATGTTGCTTCTTGTTTCGCTGCTGGGATGAGGTAGCCCCTGGTAGTTTGCAAGCTGCGCCTCCTAGCCGAAGCCTGAGCAAGATCTGCGGTGCATGAAAACCCAGAGCGACAGTCCAGGTCGATTTCGCAGTAATTTTTGATGCAGCTGCAGCACGATGCGTAGAGTCTACAGCCGTATCCGAGGCGGCGTGGGCGCCAGCTCCGTACGGGACAGCCGCTTCTCACCTCGGATCAATGAGGGTCCGAGCCCGAAGCTTGTCGCAGTTGGAGCCGTGTTCTGATCTGAATTTTGTTCTTTTTTTTTGGTGTGTTTCTGTGCGTTTCGGGGTCGCGGTATCCTGTTGCTCTTCTACTTGTAACTTCACCGACGGGCTTCGGTGTGGACGTGATGAGTCTTTTTTGCCAGAATTATGCAGGGTTTGGCTCGGAGATGCTGAGAACTCCCGTGACGCGAATGCCCCCTCCATGCTTTTGGGCTTTGTGATCGTAGACTCTGCATGTTGCGTCTGCATCGGTGAAAGCTGTTGAGCAATGCATTCTCAGTCTCCCATCCAAAAACTCTAAAGCTGTCCAGATCATCCGATCTTTCCATTCTCTTTGGTTGGCCTCGTGCACAGACTCGAAAGGCGTCGACATCACCACTGTCATCAAATTTATTGTTTTTAAGTCTCTGCAAAATGCGCAGGCTGGTCTTGCCGTGCCGTGCTTTCACAGATGTGTGTCTTGAGCAGGTGTTTGCAAAATCGTGGGGAATGTTGGCCAGCGTGCATCAGCGTTTTGACGTCTCGGCCATGTTGCTGGAATCGCCGGCAGCGCGCAAAACCGACGGGTAGAGGCGACAGGACATGAGTTCGCGGGCTTGCGCGGTCGTCAGCAGAAAAGCATCTTCCGAGAAGTCATGGAGTCGCAAGACGTTTGGGAAGAGCCCCGGAGAGGGCAGAAGCAACACATGGCAGGTGCAGACCAGTTTTGTCTTTGAATTTGTGGTGCTCATATGAGCAAAAGCGAGCTGCTACCCCAGCCGGACAAAGTTCAGAACGGTGTCACTAAAAAAGCAAACGAGCCTGTTGCATGTTGTAAAGGTTTGTTCAGTAGGTGTGGAAGTTGTGCGGATTCTGCTTTGCCGTTTGCATTGCATGCTTGCCGCAATCAGCTTCGAAAAGCCTCTCTCAGGGTCTTTGTTCACTCTGTCCGTTTGCTGGTATTCACTCAATTTTCTACCCGCGCCGGCGCCTGTGCTTTGCAGCCTGTGTGATTTGCATTTCTGCTGCTTAGGTGGTTCGACAGCTGCCCTCCGAGCAAAATGCTCCGTGCTATGGCAAAGCCTGATGATTGAAGCGTGCAGATATGCTTGTAGCATGTTCACGCGAAGCTGAATGCCAGGCTCATTTTTGACGGCTCTCAGAAGGGTCTTGCCCAGCGTCGGGCAACCCGTGGCACAGGCATCCTGGTTAGGTTGGTTGTTGGTCCCTGTTAATTCTACTGCTACGCCGCCCGCCTCGGCCTGACTGTGGCGGCAGCATGTGTCTCTGAGTCTTTAGCTCAGAGACTGAGTCTCGAAATTGGAGCCCCAAAGCTGGTGTCACTGGACTTTTTGGCTGCAGGGAGGCGGATTCGGTGGTGGGTACTAAGTGTCGGATTCATGTTGCTTGTGTGTGTTTAACTGTCTGGGACAGCCCATGCGAGCCAAGAAGTTTGACTGGGTAGAAGCAGTACCAGTACCTGAGTCACTACTTTAACGGAGCAACACTCGGACACAACCCGCTCTGCTTCGCTGATTGCCGAGAGAGACGGGTCGGGGGCAAGGGGAGGGTGAGACAGTAACTGGACATGTATCCTCTCGCAAAGCGTACAGGAACAGGCAAAGGCAGGTGTCCCTTTTTGTTATCGGCGCACAGCTGTAGATCAGTACTCTGCTAGAACCTTGAGCAACAGGCATAGATACATGAAAGTGATACGTGAAACAGACAGGCACCTGGATGTGTAACATTCTGCATTTCAACCAGGCACAAATTTAGAAAACGTAAAGCTGCATGGCCGTGAGGCGGCATTCTACATTGCCTGTTATTGCCCAAGCGAAT